TGAGGAAGAATAGTTTTCATGTGAGTAGTTAGGAGGCGAGGAAACATGACCTTCAGAACTGCAACTCTTAATGAGCCCTTCCCAGAACTCCCTTGTGCTTTTTTACAAATCTGTTACAAAAGTACCAAAGTAGTCTTTCACTTCACTATAATATATAAAATTTGGAAATATGTCTGAAAAGCATACAGGGCTTATTTGCGTACAAAAATATATAATAAGCCCATTAAATTAACTGCAAAATTACAACAAAGTTATTTTCATAATGAAAGGTTTAAAAATAATACTGCTTCTAGATGAAGCTTTTTTTTTAAAGTCCTGATTAATGAGACGTATGGCAAGAAAAATTACTATAATGGTGAATGCTGATTCAGGACCTTACTTTTATTAAGTAGTTTATAGTGAGGGCTGTGACTATTTTTCTATTTATAGTGGCAGCTCTGGTTAATTACCGTGTAATGTATTGTGACATTAATGCACTAGTAAACTATCGGAATTTACACCCCTATTCAGTAATAAAATCTGTAAATTGAAGAATGCATATAAAGTCACCACAGGCATAAATTATATGACCAAATGCCGTGCACGATCACATTAGACGTAAAGAACAGACTCTCTCAAATGTACTCAGCAGTGAGTCAGTGCCACTGAAATGATGTATTTTGGCTACTCTGAAATGCAGATCACAACATTTTATTCAAGGCTATTTGGTAACTTGCTACTACATTGTCCACATGGTTACTAAAAGCATGTTGGCCACAGTTAAAATGCACGATACTAAAGAAAAAATATATTTGACAAACAAACGCATACATTTCACAAAATATTTTTTCCTAAAAAGTGAGCAAAACTGAAAGAAACCAAGAGAATTGAAAGGAGGTAGGATGGTGACATGTGATTTAAAACCAAGATGTTTCAGCCTGGCCGGGCGTGGCTCAGCGGTTGAGCGTCGACCTAGGATCCAGGTGATTGGGGTTCGATTCCCGGTCAGGGCACATGCCTGGGTTGTGGGCCCAATCAATGACGCTCTCATCATTGATGTTTCTATCTCTCTCTCTCCCTCTTCCTTCCTCTCTCTGAAATCAATAAAGATATACTTAAAAACCAAGATGTTTCATATGTGATACAGAACTTGAGGGGGCAAAAAAAAAAAAAAAGGGAATGAAATTGTTATATCATCTATATCTATTTATATATTTTGAACAATTATATAATTATTTTTCAAAATAGTGTTTTAAAACACAATTCAATGTTACCAATAATTAGATCACTGCCTCAAATACTCAAAGAAAAATCACTATTTTAAAAAAAATTACCAAGTAATCCAAAATATTTCAAATAACAGAATAAATTAGCAAAATATCTGAAGCAATATGATGTGTTATTGTATGTTAGATAGTTCAGATTCACTACTGAAAAGTTCCCTGTGCTAGTACTGATAATTAATATATTCTTAAATGTTATTGTTTTGTATCATGATAGATATCAAAAATTAAGTATAATTTTTCCTATAAAAATATAGTAAAATCTGTAAAATATACAAGGAATTAATCTATAAAGAAATAATCCCTAAGACTTTAACATATATGTAGACAAGAAAGAAAATATAGGGTGCTACAGGTCAATCCGGGACGGAAAATAGCAAGACATATCTTGCATACTTGCAACATGGATAAAATTATAACAACAAAAAAAAGAAAGTGAAAGCAAAAATGGTTAGCTAATGTTAGTTTTCTGGCAATTCAGAGGATACTGCTATATAATCTTACAAAAAAGCAATTATTGAAGATGAAATTCCAAATTATTTAAAGAAACTAATTTATCTTATTGCATTAATTCAAATAAAAACCTATAATATACATGAGAGGCTCTCTCTCTTTCCCTATATTTATACATAAATATATATATATATAAAATAGACATATTATATATAGCAATATATATAATATAGATACAATATAAATAAATATAGATATAGTATAGTTCATTTGTATAATTTGACTGCATATACATATTAATAAGAGTTTACAGTATAATTTAAAAAAGTAAATGATAGTTGAAAGTTGAAAGGAACTACTTTATGGTTCCAGAGTAATGGTATTATGCTGACTCTAACCCATTTTCAATATTTTTTAGAAATAAAATATTAGATTTAAGATAAAAAGCACAGGATTGTCTGCAATGTTATTTTGGTGACTTATATAAACCTCTTTATCTAATTAAAAATATTTTTTAAACTATAGAACTATGGCACATGACTATAGCTGCAAGTGTATTGATCACAGAGCAATTTAGGAGGGTCTCTGGGTCAATGTAAGTAAATAATATGAGAACTAGAAGTTATCAAGATAATCATTCTAAGGTCATCCAGGTCTGCTTGGCTCCAAAGCCTGATTTCTTCCCATTTGCCACAGCAATGAACCCCAAAGTACATAGTAATAGCCACATTTTATCTAGGGCCTACCAGATGCCAGATTTTATTCTGTATTTCCCCTAATCTTCACAAAGACACTATGATGTTCTCATTCTGATCTGTGCAGTAGTTGAGTAAACTAAAACAAGAAAGTTCTAGAACTCCCACATTCAAGTTTATTAGCTTAAATCCTTTCATTTTATCAGCCAGTTTTTGTCTTATTTCATTCTAAATCTACTTTACCCTTTATCTGCCAAAAGCCCTCTCTTTCCTGTATTCATGGTCTTTTAGATTTTAAGTTGGAGTCTATTTCAGCTGTCTGGAGTCTAGGGTTGGCTGACTTGCTTTGGCCAATGGGACACAGCAAACACGACACAGGCAGAGTCCTGAAAAACATTTGAACTCTGGGCCTTTCCTATATGTTGCTGGAAATCCTACAAGCATGGGAATGTGCCTGTGCTAGGCTGCTGCATAATGAGAGCCATATGGCCATCACCCCAGATGACACCGAGCTGACTACCACACATGCAAGTTCCCTCCCCCACAAAACCAACCAGACTGCCAACTGCTAAACATCCAAGTCAGCACACACGTGACTCAACCAACTCTGGGAACTATAACACATGTTTCTTGTTTAAAGCCACTAACTTTTAGAGTGGATTATTACACATCCTATCCAAGAGCTTACAGCACCCTTCCCAAATCATACTGAGAACATGTCTGAGAAATTGAATTATATTGAGGTAACCAACTTGCATAAGTAGGCTTACATCTTTCATAGCAACAACATTCTGCTAAGAATTAACATATCTAAAGCATTGCATCCATTTAAAACTCATCTATCCCTCATGGTAAGGGATTATGTCATAAGCATCCAAGCTGTTAATCAATATAGAAACCTTAGAGGCATTTCTGCTCCTTTCCCTGCTCTGTTCAGCTAACTGACACGTCTCTTCAAGATATGTCTCAGGCCCTGCCACTGCCGCAGACACATTCCTAACTAATTTTCCAGTCATCTTTCACCTGTGCTACTGAGACAGCCTCCCTCTGCCAATCTCTCATCTACACTGACTTCACAGATACTTTTCTCATATCAAGAACCAATAATGTTATAACATAACATCCCACTGACATAGAAAAAAAATTTTTTTAATTAAAAATATTTCATCATTTTTTCCCCAGGATAAAATACAAACTCCTTGGCATGTGTGATATAGAATCCTCTACCATCTGCCGTTACATCTTTCCAGTGTCTTCCTCTAGAACTGTTCCCATTTTACTGTGTGCCCAGCATGTATCCTTAAAAATAACACAATTTCCCATCTCCATGTTTGGGTTCATTCTGCTTCCCTCTCCCTGGGATTCCCTTATTGACCTTATTCCCTTTTCTCCTTGAACACCGAGGATGCGCATTCAGAATCTAGGTTTGTTCATTTTTAATTTTAGCCACTTAGAAATTGTTGTAGGCGTGCCTACTATGTGCCAAGCACAGATCAGTGGCTGGAGGAGAAATAATAATTCTGACACTCTCTGTCCTCAAGGACCTTACAGAAGAGAAAGGGAAACACGCGCGCCGAAAAATAAAATACGATGTCTTAGGAGTAAAATCTGAGGCAAGCACTGGGCAAACTTGGAGAACAGACACATTACCTTAGCTCCTCCCTAGTACCCAGTTCCGAGAAGCTTAACAGAGGAACTGAAGATAAAAAGGAGCCTTGAAACACTGGTAGAAACTTAATGGGAGAAAAGAAAAGGTAAGAGACTCCTGGCAGGAGAAGTAGCATGTATAAAAAATATGGTCATCAAAGTCAGACATAATGACTTTTATTGAATCAAGTAATTAATACTTTTGAAGGTTTAAGAAAATATACTGCACTATTTCAAACTGAAAAATTAACCTTAGGGTATTTGATATTAATAAAATAAAAAGACATGTCTATATAACATGAGCTTTATATATTATAAAACGTTTGAAAATAATTAAGTATTTCTTAAAAACAGAAAGACAAATTCTGTATTTAGATTACATACTTATAAAGGTTATTTTAACTTTTACTTTGTATGACTAGTTTCTTTAAAAATCTTTAAACAAGTGGTATCCACTTAAAATAATAATTTTAATTTATACATTATAAAACTAAATGATATTAATACTAAAAAGACTTTTAAAAAGAATAATAATAAAATATAAAATATCAATTTGTAAGGAAATAAATTATCAACGACTTAGACTAAGCCATCTTAATTTATAAAAAATTAGGATAACAGAAGAAAGTTCCAATAAAAAAAGTAATGATTATCTGATAATCTCTAAATCTAGGTTGGTTTTCACCCAGGTTGGCACTAGTTGAATCACTATGCATCCCTATTTCTTATTTTGCTTTATAAACATTTCTCAGAACAATATTTCACATTTTTAGTTTATAAATAAGACTTATTCTGTCATCAGATTTCTTACACACCATTTCCTCCTGCTTTTTAACAGATGCTGCATTGCAAAATACATATTAACTATCATCTTTTACTTAACTGCCTTCATCAAAGAATAATGAGTTCCCTTTCCTTTAAATTAAGAAAAAACAAAACTTACCTCTAACAGGAGGCCTTTCTAGCTCAGAGTCAAGGTGAATTGGTGGAGAGATGTAGGAGACCTGGCCGTGATGTGCCTGCCCTGTAGACCCAAAAATAAACATTAGAGATGTTATAGTTAGGACTTGTTACGTTTTTTGTTTTATGATGTCATTTTCTCTCTCTCCACACTGAATTAATAGCCATTATAGAGTGCAGACAGATCTATCCAAACACAGAAACATCATGTGCCACCTAAACATCAACCAATTAAATCAGTCTTTCTTATATAATTCAGTTTTTGTTGTTGTTGTTGCTGTGGTTAAATTACAATTTTATTGTGGGGTGACACTTAAAAATATAATTAAAGTGATTTAACAGAAATGAAATGGAAAAACTAAAAACAAAGACATATAAGATACAAGTCCTAATTTTAATTGTTAGATTAAACAGACATTAAGAACTCTGTCACAATCTGTTATAAATGTTTCTAAACACTCTCAATTTCTTCACCCATTCATCGCAGATCAGTAAGAGAGTGCAGACTGGCATTGATGTCACATAACACTCTGAGTAGCACTTATTTAGATAAGTTTAAAACTCTAATTAATTTTTATTTTTATGATTTACTTGCATTACTTAATAGAATACCACTCCTACCTGCTTATTGTATTTGATGGAAAAACAATAAACAACCACAATGCAAAAGGCAGGGAGATGAACTCATTCTTTTCTCCTTACAAAGCATTCTAGCTCACATACATATTTGTAATATACTTTCTGTCTTATGAGTTAAAGAATGAAAGTGGATTTGAAGGCTGAGATGCTGATTGAAAAAAATTGCTAGCTTAAAAACAAAAGAGTTTCTAGTGCTCAAAGCAGCTACAGTTTGTATAGTGATGATCCAATATGCAATGCACATTTTAAGGCCAGAAAGCATCATTACAGAGTTAGTCCCATTTCTAAAGCAACTTTAGATAAAGGTTTGGGCAGAAGTGGGGAGGACCCACCACTTTCTTTCTACAATGGGGATATGCAGTTATATTTTACACATTTTACTATAGCAATTTCCAGGGTTGTTAATCTCTTTTCCTAAACAAGGAAAGTTAATGATACATAGACTATGATAACAGTTAGAGTAACCTTCCCATTTCAAGTAATATTCGACTTGTAATAAACTCTGCTGATTCCTCTTAGGAGGCACATTTCAAATAATTAATATGGCTCCCTGTTGATAGTAGCTGCTGTTGCTCCCAGCATTTTCCCAGCTAAGAGCAGACACAGTGGAGCTGCTGTAATATACAGAGCCTCTCATAATTGTAAGTAAGAATATTGTGCATTCACTGGCCATGTTTCAGTGGAACACTAAACGCACTGTTGTAAAGAAAATAAGACAGTGATTGTGCACTGTTAGCAGTCCACATGCAATATAGCTTATTAAAAACTTCAGGTTATCTTAATTATAAAAACATCTGATGTTTACCTATGTTGCATAGTTACTTGCAAAAACAGTTTTGTTTTTAAGCTCCTGTGTCATTACAAATGAATTGGTCTGAAACTTCATTGATCATATAAATGAAAATAAGAATCTTTCACTTCATCTGGGTTCAACATAACCTCATCATATAAAATAATATTGATTTCATGTCTAATCAAGGAACATGGCTTTCACCACAAATAATAACTGCTATGTACTCATACACACGCATCATCTCCTTTTATGCAACAAATATCACTATGAGGATTTGAAGTAGGTCTCAAGTTAATATTTTCATATATAAGAAACAAGTGGAGGAGATTAAGCAACTTGCTCAAGCACATGCTCTAGAGAATAGTAAGGCCAGTGGCATTTTGACTCTAAATCTAAAGTGTTTTCATCTCTATCATAATATTTTTCTAAAGAATATCTCAGTATGCTAAACCTAAAGAAATATGTATGGATTTCAGTGATTAAACTCTGACAAGCACAACTTTTGAAAATTGTCAGCCCTACATTCAGGTTGAAGTAAAGAGTCCCTTTAAATGCCATATCAGCCTCTGGTCTCCAGATAAGCATGTAACTTCAAGAGTGCTCAACAGGGATAGTTTAGGCAGCACGCGATTGCACCGAGTATGTCCATAAAGGGAATGGGGACATCAAAGGGCCCGTAGAATGGGATGGGGATTATTGATAATCAAGTCTTGAACTCAGACTGCCATAATTTTAATTCTCTCTCCAAGGAGAAATCTAGCAAACTGCAGGAGATGAGGTGTGGCAGGGAAAGCCACCCTGGTGGAAAATGACTGAAACTCTAAGACTTAGAGGAAGGTCAGACATTCGGTAATGGATTTCAACCTGGTGATCGAGATTTCTGCTCTACAGAATAAAAACTAAAAAATATGGAGCTTGCTGTTGACTGCCTGCATCAATCAAATTCTTAAAAAGATTTCCACTTCACTTTAGATCAGTGGCACTCACACATTTATCTCCACAAAAACCCTTAAAGGTAATAAAACCTTTTGGAAGCACAAACCAGTACTTCCTCCCCTTCTGTGGCCAAATGTTTGTCAAACAACCACAAATACGTGGTTGCACAGACATCCCACAATTTATTTATCTATTCATCAGTTGATGGATATTTGGGATCGTTTCCACTTTTGGACTATTCTAAATAGTCAAATATTCTAATGTTTTCCTGAACCTTCATGTTGTACAAGTTATTGTGTGGACATATGTTTGCATTTTTCTTGACTGTACCTAGGAGTGAAATTACTGAGTTATATAGTGTAAACTCTTAAGGGACTGTCAGTCTGATTTCCAAAGAAGCCATACCATTTTACTTTTCATTAGGAGTGAATGAGGGTTCCAGGGTCATGGAGTTGTTTTTCAGGTGTTTTTTTTAAGGTAGTACTGCAGTTAAATCAGAGTTGATCCAATTTTGTCACAATATTAAGACAACTCTGAAATCTGTGAAGGCAACAATCTCCCCAAGTGACTATAGAAAAGTAAAACAGAGGGTCTGGGTCAGAAGATGTATAGTTGATCCACACTGAGAGAGAGGAGAAAAAAAATGAAATGATCTAGCCCCCAGTAAAATAGGAACAGCTCACATCCTGAAATGAAAACGCATGAACTATACAGTGTCACAAATGCCGAAGACGTAGAGGCTGTAAGGGTGCCAGTCAATAGAATCAGCACTATAGCAAAAATCCAAAGGCCATTATGGATTTTGGAAAAACCATTATTTTTCTATCTTCAATCTCTTTTTCGACTTTCATTCAATTTCTGTTTCATTGAGGAATCATGTGTGTCTACTAATGTTCAAATATAGAAAAGACTTGACCAGCACCAAGTACAAGAAAAAGCTCATTTTCCCCCTTTTTCTACTGTCAATAATTTACTTGCGCATCAGAACATAGAAATGCATTTTTAGAACCACAGGATTTGGAGGAAGAAAGACATTTGATAGCTTACAGTCCCAAATCCACATTAGAATGAGGAAACTATCTTGAGAAATTGGAGATATTCAAAAGTCAAATCAGGTGGTGGTTGTCAACAGTGATGCCAGAGGACGGGAAGAGAGGGAATGCCCACGGTTAGCCTGCAGAAAACTGCCCACAACCCTCATCGCTCTTACCTCTGAAGCCCTCCTTAGGAAGCTGTAATTTTCAAGGTGTGGGGGCATGATCTTTCAGTTGTGCTGAGACAGGTTTAGAGCTATTTATTTATGAAAATAGGTACTTTCTTCCCCCCATTAGGCTTTGTCTACAAACTAAAGGCAGGTTAGCATAATAGGTAAGATCATGCCGGGGAAATATAACTGTGTTGGTATCTGGGCTCTGCTATGTTTAAGCTATATAACTATTAGCCATGTAAGTTAGTTGCTAACGCCATCAACTATCAGGCTGTTTAATGTCTATGTGCCTCAGTTTCCTCATTTGTATAATGAGGATTATAATAACATTGACCTCTTAGGGATGTCTTGAAGGCTAAGTGAATTTACACATATGTAGTGATTAGAGCAGTGCCTGGTATATAGTAAAAAACTTAGAATTTTTAGATATTCTATTATTATTATAAATGAATTCTTTTCATTCATTAATTCATTAATCAATATTACTTGAGTGCCAATACCTGAGAGGTGCATTTTTAGTTGGTTAATACACATCACACAACAAAATGAATGATGATCCATATCCTTATGTAGGGAGAGACAGTGAGTAAGCAATTAACACAATTAATGCATCAATAATATTATATGTACAGGATGCCAACCAAGGGCAATGGAAACAAACTGCAAGGGGCCAAAGGGGATGTGGATTGGGAAGGGCAGGCTGCAGTTTTCAAAGGTGATCACAGCGTTGGAAGAGTCCAAGAGAAGACAAGAGATAATATCTGACTTTTATAGGAAACTAAAAAGATAAAAGTACAGATAAGGGTGCAAACCTACATTTAATAACTAACAGTAAAAGAACAAAATGTGCTGGTATCAGATGCTTTTCCCTAACACATTTACTTCAAATTTTACACCTATTCATAGGCATTCATGTGACCAATGAATAAGACATAAATAAAATAAGATGTGTAACTGGGAAAATGAACAGTAGCTTTTTCATAAAGTAAAAACAAATTTTACTACCACAAAGCCCCCATGGGTTTCTCCAGTTATACCATTTTTCAACTCAAATTTTCCTCATTTTCTATACAGTGTTGTAAACAAGTTTATGTCCCTCCTGGCAGATTTTATGCCTTTGTTTTGTTTGCTTTAGAATTTCAAGTTCTGATCTTGATTATAATCTAGAGATATGACATTCCCCCTCCCTAAGGAAAGTAAATAGATCGAGATTTTTGCTCCTGGGCTTTTTAATAATATTATCCTTTCCCTTTTACAACCTTTAATATGGTAGCAAGTTACATCTCTGCGTCTCTCTGCCCTGCTACAATAATAATTCCATGTAGAATGTGGGAGCCTCTACTAAACCACATTTAAGAGTGGCATATGGGATTTTTCAGAGTTTTTCTGATACTCTTAAAGCAGCTAAGCCTCCTCAAAAAAGAAAAGTTTATTCCCTTGTTGACTATAATCTCAGCTACTGATAAAAAATACCAGAGGCCAACGTTTT